GGAATAATAGGGATTTTTAATGATTGGAATAAGCAAGCCATCAGCCACTGTATTTGGTATGCAGGTCACATCAGAAGTATAGGCACACGTGCTAGGAGGGTGGGGGGAAAAGTCAGAAACCCAGAAAATTGAGTCTCTTTTGTTTTGTCGTTGGTTGTTTTTTTTCCAAGTGAAAGGAACTGTTCAAGATTAGAGCCATTTTATGTTTGATTTGTGTAAAGAGAATAAAAAGGCCTTGCAATTAGCAATGTTACAGCTTCCCTCCTTGTCTGTACTGAAAAAATGGATTCTGTGAGTGGAGACTGGCTTGCAGCTCTGTAGATTGGAATATGAACCATGAAATTTCCATCAGTCCTTGGTTTTGCAGAGTTACTTCTTTTGGCCAAGCATGAGAGATGCTGATGATTATTGGCAGGAACTGTAACCTTCCCAATGTCTTCACTTTTGGCAGGTCCACTCATGTTTGCTGAGTGTGAGGGCTGGTAAAGACGGCTGGTTCCAGCTCTACAGCCCTGGAGGAGTGGCATGTGATGATGATGGAGAGCTGTTTGCCAGTATGGTATGTGTCTGCAATAATGTGAGTTTAGCAAGCTCTTTGCAGTGAAGTAGCTAATGAGTAGCTGAAAATAACAAGATTTACTTTCTTTTGTCAAAAAATTATCAAACCCAGCATTCTCTAAACCACAAGTGTTCATGAGGAAATCTGAATCTTTTTATCACCAAATCCATTTAACTTCCTTGCAGTTACAGTTTGGTTAACATGTTAGCATTCTCTTTTGGAACTTTGGCTTGTTTTTTCACTGGTAATGTAATGCACAAAACCATGCATGTATATACATGTGTTGCACATGCACATATGTATTTTTGTATTTATAAATACATTTGTTTGTGAATCTGTATAAAAACTCTCAGAGAATAAGGACAAACAGGGGAGACAGACGGCTCTGCTCATCCATGCCTGTAGTTTTCATATAGGGCTACCCTGGAATTTAGAAACATCAGTAAGATGGAATTAATCAAAGGATGAATAGATAAATATAAAAATGTGTTAAAGTTTCTCTGCCCAATTAAACTATTGTGGGAGGTTTAATTAGAAACCAGCATTTCCTGCAGTTATTTCTTTTGTAACCCTGAGAAGGACTAGACAGAAAATAACAGGTTTTAATCACTGATGCTGACACTGTCTTCCTGTGCAACCTGGGTCAAGTCACATAGGTCTCACTGTGTATTAATTCTCCATTTAGCAAGTAAGATGAACATTTTGGAATAAAGATCCGAGCCTGTTTATACTCTTAAATTCAGATGAGTCAGATAGCATTGAAACAGAGAATGGGCAAAGATTGTTAACAAAAGGTTTCATCCCTCTTTGCTGATTCTATGTCTCTTAAGTCTGAAAAGAAAATTTCTTCAGGACTATATAATTTCTCTAAGAGCTTTTGTGGAACAAGATATTTATGAGTGTCAGGAGGTGGTGTGCTTGAGAAAACACAATGCTAACACACATTAATATGCAGTACACTGTGCCCTTTGCAAGGATATTGATAAATACTTAAAGAGCTGCTAATGACTAACCATAAAGTTTGAAAAACATCCTGTTCTGAGATGGACCCTACATTAGCAATAGTGTCAGTATTTCCCATGTCTCAAGAAAACCTCCTAAAAAGCTTAACAATAACTGCATGAAAAGAAATCCTTTTTGGCTTGATGCTTACTGTTTTTAAAGGCCATCTGAGCTGATGGATACTTAAAAAAAAAGATCTTGTGTTTTTCTAAAGGCCTTGCTGGTACTGAAGCCATGAGGAAGAAGAATTGCAAGGTAGCACAGGATCTGCATGGAATTGACTGCATCGTAGCATGGTTGCAATATTTTCAGCAGTACTGAACATAGCCAAAGCAATGCCAGGAACCAGGGGGACCACAGAATGTAATTACAAGCTTATTGTAGAGTTGTACTGATGTTGACTCTACATAATGGAGCTCTTGCTGTTCCAGGTCATTGGAAACTAGAAATTCTCACATAGTGCTCTGCCAGCAAGGTGGTGAATCAGCCATCTGGGCCATAAAACAAGAGCCCAAAATTCTCTGCAGCTAATTGCTAGGGCTTTTAAATGGGAAAGAATATTGCCAGCCTGTTTTGTGAGAAAAGACTTGTATTTGATTTGTACGAGTGGCTTTGCATTTCTGCCATAGGTATTACTATGTCATATCATCCGTTGCTTTCTGCAGATAGGAGAGAGTGCAGGACTTTTTTGTCAGTTAGTGGACTTACAGAAGTCTTATTCAGGCAGTGTTCTCAGCATTTCTTCCCTTTCGAGGAAAACGGAGCAAGGAAGCACATGAACTTGTATCGACTTAGGGCTCAGGACTGCTGGATTTTCTTAAGGCACTTCCTCCTTTCCTAGTCACCTCCTTTCTGTTCCTCCTGAACAGGTGACTTTGTCACCACTCCTTAACCAAGGCTAGTGTTCAGCCAGCAGATTGCCAGCACCACTGCCTTTTACCTAGACAATCCAGCCATACAGCCCTTGCTTACCATCTGGCATTTCCAGGGAAACTGAACCACAAACAGATGCAAAAGCAGAATCTCCTGTAGTTCCCCTGGGGCTCGGTTCAGCTTGTTTCTAGGGATGGGGGCAGTTGCACAGCTGCTCTGATGTTTCCTGGGGAGCTTATATCAGGCCTCTGGGCTGTCAGCTGAGCTCCTTTCTGGAGAAAACCTATCTGCTCCCTCAGAGTTCACTAGGCATCACCTTTTTCAAAAAGTCACTTCCAATCAACAATAAACGTGTGAAGAGACTGCAACCATAGTCATCAGGAGGGCCTCCTTTTCTTTAGGTGTGTTGCAAATACTTTTATTTGTTTGACTGTGTAACAATGTCCCTTCCAGAGGTATATGTGTTTCTTAGGCTTGTACCTCTAATTTTAGCCCTGTTTCTTGAATAGGTTCATATTTTAATGGGATCCTGTTATAAAACTAAGAAGTTCCTGCTCTCACTGGCTGAAAATAAATTAGGACCTTGCATGCTACTGGCTTTGAGAGGAAACCAGACGATGGTAGAGGTAAGCCCTACACATAAGTAGTCATTTAAGTTTACAAATAGTATTCAGATTTGGTTTCACTGTCTTTCCCAGAGTTACACCCAGTGGAACTAGGGAAGTTCAGGTTTGTGTGGCACAAAACACCAGCAGTGAGCGGTTGTGTTTCTCTTCATTAAGTGGAATTGATTGTTGTTCTGTAGGTGGGAGTGGGGATGACAGGAAAGGTGGGTGCAAACAGTTTTGGAGAGAGAGATTGTTTGCTACGATTGAGTTGGAGAGGCTAAGATGGGAAATAAATGCCTGTGAAGATACAGGCTGTGGCAAGGGGTCAGAATTTGGAACCGCAAGTTTTTTCCATGACTAAATGCCTGGGGCTTGTCTTGCCACCTGCAAAATGAACAGTGTACAATAAGTGCCTTCACAAAACCTTGTTTACTTGCATTAATACACATTTTTATGTACTTATGATTGGTTATTTTTGTTTCACTGATAGTTTATATGTATGTTTCTGGGTTTCTATATAGAAGTCTCTAGATAAATATTATCATATAATTTAAGTGGAAATAGAGAGTGGCTAAATAGGTGGAAGGAGCTGCAATTTTTCATTGACTTAGATCTGTGCATGTTAATTTAATCCAGGAAATAGAAGAGTGTGCTGCATAAATTTGAATAGAATGTTGCTTGGCAGTGTTGTTGTTTCTTTTTTTTCAATAAAAATAATTAAAATTATGGAGGGAATAAGAAGTTTGCATTTTAATTGCAATGGGATGGTATGTAACTGAAAATTGAAGGCAGCATGGAGGGGACAGCTTGTGCCCTACACCCATGAAACCCACCGGAATCATCCCCTGATGTTTCACCTGCTCCTGGCAACCCTTGGCCCAGGGGTGAGTCAGATGTGTTCCCTGTGAGATGGAGGGTGTCCTGGCCACAGCAGCTTGCTCCCAGGATCATCTGCTCTTGGAGCCTCTCTGACCTTTCCCTATCCTGCCTTGTAGATTGGATACACTTCCCATGCATTCTGCTAGCACAGAAACCCCAGTGTTTGGGGACAGAAGATGCAGCACTTAGGGAACTGCTTGGCTCTTGTGTCCTGTCCCAAGTCTGCAATCTGCAGTCCAGCTGGTGTAGCTGGGAAATCCTGGATCTGTACCTATTCTGAAGAGGGCTGTGGCATGAAGCCAAATTGCAGGACTGATGCAAAATAATTGCACCTCAGTCAGAAGGAATGAATACTAATGGAAGACAGGATAGATAGGCTGACTTTCAGAGATAAGAGTTCATTTTTTGCAAATAAAAAATTGGTTTCTTGCCTTGGAAGGTCAGTAAATGTTGCTAATGTCTGCTTTAAAACCTTACCCAGTAATTCAGTCTAGCATGCCCACTGTAATATGTGAAAGAAACATAATGTTAGCTTTGCAGTGACCACTCTTCTTTCATTCTGTTGCTAGATTTTGTGTTTGATGCTGGAATACAACATCATTGATAATAATGACACCCAGCTCCAGATCATCTCTACCCTGGAAAGCACAGACGTGGGAAAGAGAATGTATGAACAGCTGTGTGACAGGCAGAGGGAGTTAAAAGAGCTGGTATGTCACCCTGCATGCAGTATTGCCACAGCACCTTGTGGTCTGTACTCTCCAGAAATGGAGATACAAAAGACAGACAAGCAGGGTGTGAAATTCCCAGTTAACGATAGGATGGGAACAGTATTTGGAAGATTTTACTGTGGATAAATATGCTGCCTGATATTTATTGATGTGTCTTAATCCCATACTATGTTCATGAATTATATTCAATAACCTGCTTAGAATCTGTGTGAAAGAATGAAGGTGAAATCCTGCTGTCCTAAGATCTTACAAGTCAGCTTGTCAAATTCTGCCACCTTTTGACATATGAGTAGCAAATGGTTCTAGTGCTGGCCAGCATTTCTGAATGTTTTGACATTCACCACATCTCACTGAGGTGGTCTTCAGTTCTCACAACTAGAGCCTATGAGAAAAATGTTTTCCTGATTTTAAAGACAGGATCTACAGATAGATCTGCTCTCCTTAACACTTCTTCACCGGAGCAAACATGCCCACAATCTTCCTCTTCCCTCCTTCACATTTATATTTGTCTTCCTTGACCCCTGCTCCCAGCCTACAAAGGCAGATTCATTTGCTTTTTTGAAGTCAAATAAATGATCAGCTCCACAGTCTCACCCTCTTCACTGTCTTAGTCCAGCATTTTAAGGCTGTTTCCTTTGAAGTGAAAGTAACCAAATAATAGCAGGCTGAATCAGACAAAGTGCTGGCCTATGGCACGAGGGCCACTAGCTGTGGTTAGTGGATGTCCCCTGGGTAGCAACAGGCGAGCATCTAGCACACTGAGAAAAAAATCTATCAGTGCAGAAATAGCAGGGAAGAGGTGGAAGGGCTGGCAGGGAGCTTTGAAATCAGAACAGGGTTTGCTGTAGTGAAGAGCTTGCAATACTTCAGCTGGTCTGAGCTGTGGAGTGTCAGCTTGTTTGACCAAAATATCCTCTCTCTTACAGCAAAGAAAAGGTGGTCCTACAAGATTAACACTGCCATCCAAGTCCACAGTAAGTTAATCACGTCAATAGAAAAACAAGCTTTGTCTTTCCATATTTAAGCATTAGATTTATGTTTGCCATGTGGCACAGTGGTTTTGGTAGGTCGAGAGGGGAGCCATTCCACTTGCTCTGTCAACACAACTGGAGTTTACACAAGTAAGGGCACATTTCTGCTCTTGGGTCTGTGCAGAAGTTTCCAATGCCAGTACAAGCATCCAACTGGCACATTTGTAGTGGTGTGCAGAGCTGGAATTTACGGTAGGATCTGATGGTAGATTGGGAGACAGAATGTTGCATTAAAAATGCAGACTTTACAATGTCCGGTTCTGGATCTTAGATGTGAAAGTCTGAAAGAGAAACAGTTGCAGTTGAGTCTAGTGTAAACCCAGAGTAACTTCACTGAGGCCAGGTAACAGCCCTGAACACAGCTGGGATCTAGAACTTGCAGTGAAATCTTCATTAAGTTCACAGACCCATCTTTGACATTTGTTCTGACACTGAAGCCTTCGTGTCTCATAAGGATACACATGCAAAGAAAATTTTTGTTGTAATGTCTGGATATGGTTTTCCCAGGGTGTGTGAAGCAATGCTGCCACAAGAGCCCAGCTGCTTGCCAAACAAACAGAAACTTCTCTGTGTGGTTCCCTGTTACTGTAAACAAGTGGTGTAATTGTGCAACTCTTGCTGGTTAACAGTATCAGTGACAGCACTGCAGAAGACTGCAGGCTGAGGAGTCAGGAATCCTCCTTATCAATATGTTGTTTGATTCCAGGATGCAGACCTGGCCCGCTTGCTAAGCTCGGGATCTTTTGGAAATCTGGAAAACCTCAGCCTGGCCTTTACCAACGTGACAAGTGCTTGTGCTGAGCACCTCATTAAACTGCCTTCACTCAAGCAGCTGAACCTGTGGTCAACTCAGGTAAGTGCTTTGCAGGCTGAAACTCAGAGCAGGAACCAGTGCTGACTAATTCTGAGATTTCACATTGCGTCAGTGTAAGAAGTGTGTGTGAAGACAGGCTGTGAGAGCTGGGGCTGTTCAGCCTGGAGAAGAGAAGGCTCCAGGGAGACCTTACAGCACCTTCCAGTGCTGGGAGGAGCTTTTCACCAGAGAGGGCAGTGATAGGGTATGGGGTAGTGGTTTTAAACTGAAAGAAGGGAGATTTAGGTCAGACGTCAGGAAGAAATTCTTCACTATGAGGGTAGGAAAGCACTGGAATAGGTTGCCCAGGGGGGTTATTGATGGCCCCTCACTGGAGGTGTTCAAGGTCAGGTTGGATGAGGCTTGTGCAGCCTGGTCTGGTGGAAGGTGTCCCTGCTCATAGCAGGGAGGTTGGAACCTGATGGTCTTTAAAGTCTCTTCCAACCTTAACCATTCTACGAAGAGGCTTGCTTAGAATGGGTTTGTCCCCACGCTGTTTTTTTAGGGCCTTTTTGTGGTCTGGCTCATCTCGGAGGCTGGTTTTTATTTTTCTTTTTAAAAAATACTTTATTTTTAGTTATAAAAGGGTTGCTGCTGCCTTGGGTTTAGCACTCCAGTTAGGCAATGTTGATACTGCTTTGCAAAACATGTGCTGCTGTTCATCTGAGAAGTGCTTATGCTTACACCCATTTAGGGTGAAAAATATGATGCTGTGCAGCTCATCTGGTCAAACAAAACATCATCTGTGCAGTGTAGGCACTGAACTGCCCTGAATGCTGATCAACCAGAATTTCTTTAAAAACAACAAGAAAAAGAAACTTAAGTAATGAGTAAAATAGAGGGGAACTATAAGGATAATGTGCCAATTTTGTAAGCAAAAAGAGGCCGAGTTATCTCAATAAAGTTACTCAGCTTTAATTGAAAGAGCTTTTAAAATTAGATCTTTTTATTGCATTTCCCTGCTGGTTTTGGTCTCTCAGGTTCTCCACAGAATAGGTTTTGCCATTTTCTCTTAGCACCTATTTGTAGTGCTTGCTGAAAATATGATTGTTCTCAGTACAGCCCCAAAAAGCAGAGTTGTTTTTTTTTCACTCAAACATCATGTAAATATCTTGTTTTCCTAATTACTTTTGTATCCCAGAAATTTCCTCTTTTTGTATGGGCAATATGGAGTGGACTCTGATTGCTTTGCTTGTTTTAAGGCTGCCTTGTATCTGCTCCAGATTTGTCCTAACAGTGTAACTTCCAGATTTGAAAATTTTGATGCTTCTTACTCAAAATGAGTTTTATTCCAGTGGATAAAGAGCCTGCTTTTTGTGTGGTGTTTTGTGGTGGTTTTTTGCTTGTGGTTTTTTCTTTTATATTTAAAGAATAAACCAAACCACTTTGTGTTCCATTTAGTTTTCTGATATCCTGGTTTCCATTAATCTAGACTTCAGAAACAGCAGAAACGAAGTGTGTCAATAGAACAATTACCAATCAATAGTACATTGTTCTTGTGACCAAAATAGCTAATTAATACCACTTGCATCATGCTTTTTTTTTTTTCTGATGTGGTTGGGAACTGGCTGAGACTGCTGTAACCATCTTGTGTAGCCTGGGTGGGAGCTCTCTCATACAAAGTCCAGGCTTCAGAAGCATTCTGATGGAATGGTGGCCTGTGGTTCAGTGCACACAAACCGTTTAGCTTTTCTCTTCCCCGTCTGCAAAAGAGGGATAAAACTATTTTCTTTCCCTCCTGTCAGTTGATAATGGTGGTAAACAGCTGGAGTGTGGCTCTGAGGGCTCCTCTGCACACCTTGTTTCATTGGTGCTTGATGTTGATACGTTGGTTGCAATCAAGTTTGTTCTGTGCCCCACAGTTCGGAGACGCGGGGCTGCGGCTCCTGTCGGAACACCTGACCATGCTGCAGGTGCTCAACCTCTGCGAGACGCCCGTCACGGACGCTGGGCTGCTGGCACTGAGCTGTGAGTGGCCAAAAGAAGCTAGGAAGGAAAATGGTGTGGGTGGGGAGGAATTAATCTGGGTTCAGACAGAAGATGGACTTCTTGGCTGTCACCCCGCTGCTTCTGCAGGGATTTAGGACAGGCCCTGGTTATCTTTGGGTTTCATGTCCCTGCCCGCTCCACTGTCCCATTTAGCTGCAGGCAGGGGCAGCAGGATGATGACCTGAGCCTGCTGACAGAGTGGTCTTGGATGTGGGCTTTGCTGTCCCAGACCCTGCTCCAGCTCTTGCCTCTGACTCTACTGATGGCACTTGTCTGGATCTCATCATGGTGACCTGTTGTCCTTGGACTTCCCAGCTTTTTTTCACGCATCTGTGGGATGTCCCTTCTGGGTGGGGGTCTGGCCTTACGGTGCAGGAGGGGAACATTGCAGAGCCATGTGCCAGCTTATTAGTGAGTTTAGCAGCCCTGCACAGCTGGCTTTGGACTCTCACTGGCATTTTTTGTTCCTTCTGTTTTGGGGAGGTGAAACCCTCGCTGTTTCTAACTTGGGCAAGGCAAAGCAGAGTGGGGCCACCAAAGCAGCATTCAGGGCCCCCTTGAGCACCAAGGCTGCTCACCATGCCATGGTGAGACCTTTTCCTACACCCAGCAGTGGATGAGAACCCTCAGCTACTGGGTTTAAAGGGCTCCTTTAATAGGCTTGATCCTACACAGACATGCCAGACAGGCCAGTAGCTGTGGCTTATCTGAGGAAACTATTCTGTTAAGTACTGGAGCCTAAAATGGCAAGTGGGGGGGGGAGAGGAAGGGGAGAAGGGGGCACTGCTAGATCAGTGTGGCCCCTGCGTGCACCGTGCAGGGCGCTGAGAACGGGCACTGCTCAGAATAATGTGCAGGAAGCTGGTTATGAGAAGTTGCCTGAACTCCTTTGAAGTCAGCTGACTTAAGCATATGCTTAATGGCCCTTCCTAAATAGGGACTTTTTCCTGGATGGGGGCCCAAACAGCTTTTGATCCATTCGTACTTCTATATTTTACACTATTCAGCTTTTTCCTGAGAATGCTGCACATAGTCATGTCTTGTTGATGCTTTGGCCTGCTGTAAGCTTGATGTTTTAAGAAGATGCAGCATGATCACAAATAATCTGTGTGTTTTCTCTTCTAGCCATGAAGAGCCTGTGTAGTTTAAATATGAACAGCACCAAACTTTCAGCAGATACCTACGAAGATCTCAAGGTATTTATTTCTGAATGGCATTCACTAAAGATGAGAAGTAGCTGGCCTGGAAGGCCTTGCAGATTTAGCAAGTACATGGTGTTATCAGTGCCTAGTGCAGAGAGAACTGGCTGCATGGTGTGGGTAGCAAGGAAGTAATCTGAAGAGGGCAAAGTGGATTATTTTGGGGAGATAATGACTGAAAACGTTGTTCTGAGAGGCTTTGATGGACTCAGGAAACATGTGGTATGCTGAATGGGTGAGTATCTGATGGAATCTGAAACAGCATCTCTCTGCCAGTGCTATCAATAATAAAGGTTTCATAAATGGAAGCATATTGGTTGCTTCCAGTGAGGATACACAGAGAGGTAAAACCTAGTGCACACCTCCAGAGCTGCCCCCTGTGCTGTTCCAAGACCAAAAGCAGCGTGTGTGAACAGCATTACAGAGCTTTGATTCAGAATGCAAAGAGAGAATTAAAAGCATGTTAAGGAAGGTGCAAGTTTATCTGGACACCTCTTGGACTGGATGTGAGCTTTTGACAGAAACACCTGCACAGTTTCTCAGTTCCCCAGTGTGACATGTAGGGTGTCTGGTGTTGCCATTTGTACTGTGAATTTACAACCACTTTGGCAAAAGTGTGTGAACTAGAATGCAGCTGTGGGAGGGGAACAGCCCCAGGTGGTTGCAGACAAAGACTGCCTGAGATGCGTTGGCTTTTGTGACTTAACTTGGACTTTGTCTTCTCTCTGATGTGTGAGTTGCATCTCCCAAAGCCTTACCTCAAAAACCCAAGCACTCAAGATGAAACTACATTATGTCATCTTGTGTGTTGAAAGCTTTGATTGTGCCAGGTTTATTCAAAAAGGTCACAACCTTGGGTTGAGTTTCGAACTTGAGGCAAGTCCTGAAACTGCCCTGCTTTCAAAATTCTCTGCAAAATGTATCTGCAGGTCTGGCTGTGGAGCCAGGGCTCCCTCAGGGACTCGGTTGCAATGCTGCTAGCATGGATTTTTCAAGATTAAGTTTTCAAAACTTGTGTCACAATTGTATATGCAAAGAAGAAGTCCTTGGAATTAACAGCTGTCTTGCAGATGGGTTCACACAATGGAGCTTGTATCAGGCCCCAGGCATTTGCAGACAATCAAGGTCAATGCTGAGGTTGGCCCAGGGCTCCAAAATTGAATCTACCAAAAGGCTCCACCAGCCCTACCCCTGCTTCTGAGCCCCTTTGCCACTGACTCCAGACTGAAACTCATATTTTCCAAACTGGTTCCCTCTGCTCAGGAATTGCATTAACAGTCCTTAGCAGCAACACAAGAAAGTGACTTGCCAGGGCAAACAGCAGGACTGGCTGTGAGCAAAGTCCTGATGATTGCAGAGAATTAAAAAAGCTGAGAAAACAGGTGTGCGTCACTTTTTCCCCTCTCACCTCTTTCACTGGGATTTATCTTAGTGGCCATTTTTGTAGAGCCCTGTGTGTGTTCAAAGGGAGTGTAACAGTTTCTTTCCCTGGGGCACATGGTTGTAGGTCTGTGGAGAACAGCTCAGACTTCAAAGAACATATTTTTGATACAAATCTTTCCTTCTTCTCCTCTTGGTCCCCGAGAGCATTTGGGGCACAAGCCAGTGATGACATTTCCTCTCCACTCCATCCCCCACCCCACTGAACACGCTTGCACACACACAGACACCCACATATGTACCAGGCAGGCTGAACCAGACAATAAATAAACACCCACTACTGAAGTCACTATTGCCTAACTGAAAAATTATTTGCTGGCAGTGTCTGTAGGATTATGACTAGCTCTTATCAAAATATGCATGCACATAAATCAAGGAGTGAGGTAATAATGACTCCTAGAAACTTCCAACTCCTCAATTATGCCCTAGTCTAATTAAAAGTGTTTGTTTGTTTTGAGAGAATTAGCCATACAATTACAGTCAGAGCATGGAAATGGGATAGACAAGTAGGAATGGTGCAAACAGCTGATTCCCACCTGCCTCTCATGGGGTAACTTGGGAGCATCGTGTCCAAATGCAGTGGAGTTATGGAAAGGAGACTGCAAAGACACCAAAGGCTGCTAACCCCCTCCAAATGCTTTTAATAAATTGAAGGAAAAATCAAGTGATTACTTAGTGTGGAGCCTTCATGGCTAGAGTTTGACAAAGAAATTTTGCTGAGCATTTTGTGTAAAAAAATAAAATAAAATATATATAAACACACACACATATATATATATATAAAAGAAAGCTCTCCCCACGATCTGGGCCTGCTGGCTGGTGTGTGGGTTTGAATGGAGCCACTGCAGGTGGGACTTAGTCTTGTGTAAAGTAAAGGTTCAGCACCTTGTTCCTTCATGAACACCTGTGTGCTTCAGCTCCCTGCTGAGCTCAGCGCTGGCTCTCTGCAGGGTTGAGGTTGTAGCACATCTCCCTGCAGTTTCTGTGGCCCAGAGATCAATCCTCCCAGTTTCCTGACTGTACAGATTTTCCAGGATTTTTTTTCCCTAAGTCCTGCCCTCCAGTCATTAATTCTAACCTTTCTTACCTCCCCACAGGCTAAACTACCCAATCTGAAAGAAGTGGACGTCCGCTACACTGAAGCATGGTGAACTCTCCCTTCCTCTGACTCTTTTACTTCTCCCGAGAAGGAAAAGATTTTTAAAACAAACAGAAACATGAAAAATAACTTTTGGCTAATTCCTGTAGAGCAGTGAGTCCTGGGACTTGGTGGTAGGAGTCGTGGTTGTGGGATAGAGGAGTGGTGTTGTGTGTGTCGGGGGGACGGGGCAAGCCTGGACCCAGCCAGATTCTTTCAGCTTTGTGATTTCAGAATCAAGACAATTTAAATTGAAAAAGGAAAAAAAACCCCACAAAACAAAAAGACTTTGTAGCAGCAAGAGGATTATAAAGAGGAAAAAAAAAATACCACCTTTGTGGATTTTATTTGCCTTTGTGTTTTATGCCATGTGGAGAAAAAGAAAATATATTCATTTGTCATTATTTACCTGGGTTTCCTTGGCTGGCAGCAATCCAGTCAGAACTCCTCTTTCACCAGTTTTGCTCCAGAAAAATCAAACGTACAAAAATCTCAAGAGAAGAAAACCAAAACCAATATGATTTTCACCTCCCCCCGTGTCCTTGCAGTGGTTATGCAAAGTGATTTTGTTGTACATAAGATTTACATAATGCACCTATTTAAGAAAATGGTTCACAAATAACAGGTCTGGGACCTGTCTTTTATTTATGAATTGTTAATTCTTTTACCCTTTTTTTTTGGCGTATAGTACTGTATAAACTAGTTTGCTGTCTTGTTGTTATTATTTTTTTTTTAAAAGGAAATGTCCTCCTTGAAGAATTGCCTTTCAGTGATGCATATACTGTATGATACTCCCTCTCTGTCACGACATCCATCGCGTTGTCTTTTCGATTTCAAAATGCCTCAAATGTTATCAAATAGGAAGGAAAATATCTACCAAGGGGGGGGATGGTTGGGGAGGAAGGGGTGCAGGGATTAATAAAAGTCACGTTTCCTTCCAAAGTCTGAAAACTTTCTTTAGTGTCTCAAACTATGTCAGGTTGAAACTTGGGAGATGGGGAAAAAACGCCCTTTATTTTGCCAGGGGGCTACTGGCAAAGCTGTAGATTTTACAAGTTGCCTGGGTTGTTTTCTGTTTACGTCCACTATTTCAAAAAGAGACAAAAAAGCTCTCCCTCCATTTTGTGCATCAGCTTTTTCGTTTTTCCACCCCCTCTTTCCTCGTCTCCACCCCTCTCCTCCCTCCCCTACCTGGTCTGTGCACGCATCGTTCTGCATGTTCCCCTGGGGAGACTGAAAAACCTGCGTTGTTGCTGATCTGATCGCTCTGACCTGTCTGTGAATGTGACTGCAACGTTTTTCAAATTCCACAATTGCTTAGGAGTTGATTTTTTTTTTAATTGTGGTTTCTTTTATAACTATGCTGTTGACTTTTTTTTTTCATAATGAGCCTTCATTGTACAGAGCTGCTTATTTAAAAAAAAACCAACCAAAACCCAAACCAAACAAAAACAAAGTTTTTCTTCTGTTTAACACCTTTGTTTTATTCTTCAGCACCACAAGGTTTCACATACAGCCAATGTAATTTTTTATATATAAATATATGTATATTTAATCTTATTCAATGGAAGCCAAGCTTTTGGTTTTTTGTTTTTGAACTTTGTTGCTATGTAGACAACCCCCACCCAAATCTTGGGAGTTTTTTCTCTTTTTTTTTTTTTTTATATATATATAAATGAAAAAGAAATTGAGTCTTAACTCATGTAGTGTGCCAGGTATTTTCCCTCCTTCAAATCCCAAACTGTGTGAGGATGCAGTGTGGGAAGAAAGAAGAAGAAAAAAAGGTAAAAATAAATAAATTTTAAACAAACAAACAAACAACCTTTTCCTTAGCTCTGTTGCTTTTACCAATGGTTTACTTCTACTGTTCTGTAGCTGTGTACAAAGAGATGTGAAATAATTTCAGGCAAAAATAAACTGTAAGTGACTATCTTTTAGCTGCGTGCTTTGTGTTTTCTTGGAAAGCAGCTCCTCTGGGCCGCGGGGACGATGGTTGGATGAGGACATCTCTGTTCACCAGGCACAGCCCCTTGTCTCCCTTGGCAAAGGAGGGGACCAGCAGGCAGCCAGCGGGGTGTTTTCCACCAGGTTTCAAGGCACTGTCACCTACAAGGAGGAGGAGGAGGAGAAGGACAGCTGTGCATCCAGCTCATCCCTCTGCAAGATGGTTTCTCTCTGCGCTGTTGCGAATCCTCCACAGCTCGAGGAGTTTTTGCACTGGCCATCAGAAGAGCTGCATTGGTGGGGTGGTTGTGCTGGTGGCCTGAAGTAGGCACTGCTGGAAATGCTAGGGCATTTCCAGGCTTGAAAGGAATTTCTCTCAAGGTGCATTTCAGGGCAGCAGCCAAATGGAGGCATCTGCTGCGCTTGCATTCTGCTCACTGCCCTTGATCAAGCACGCCGGTGTGTGGGCTGGAGGCCAGCAGAAGATCCAGCTGGAGCTTCACAACTGCTTCCATCATCCAGACAATTACTAAACTTCTTTAGCTTTTAAACAAATGGACCCCACTTGAAACCAATTCCTGCAGATGTTCTGAGAGCCACCTTCATCACCTATGTTGCCTGGCTCCTGTACTCTCGTTATCTGTATTTCTGTCCTATTCCACAAAACAGACTTCAGGGCACAGAGAAACAAGTGTTTGTGTTGTGTTTCCAGCTGAGGTAAGAAGTGCTCATGGGGATGGCCTGTGATAAAATGAATAAACCACGCCTTTTTTTTTTTTCTTCCCTACTGACACAGGACAGCTCTAGCTGAGGCTCTTGGGCTTTTTGGGTCTTTCCCCCTTGAGCAGTCACTGCTGTGTATGGGCTGTCCAGCTCTGGCATGGGTGAGGACTTCACAAAGCCTTTCTGGACCCTGAATAGCCAGAAATATGGTCAATGTGTTTAAATAAAGTGATACTTTTGGTCTGTCTTACTTTGCAAGCAGGAGTCATCTCTGTGCCAGGGCATGTGCCTTTGGCCTCCAGCCTGTGGCAATTGCAGAGCAGCCTTGTAAGAAATTCCCAAGGATTGTGTCAGGCTGGGGATCCTCTTATTGGTTATGGAGGGGGAGGGTTAGACGTGGTGTATGAAGAGATGCTGGATCTCAGCTTGTTCATGGAAAGGGTTTTCTGAGTTTCCTTTCTTGCAGCACTGGGACTTGTAGAGCACCTGGTGGTTTCACCTGGATAATGATGCCTTTCTGTTGGCCTTTCAGCTGCTGCTTGCTGAGAGCATGAGCCATTAAAGAGCTGCCTGGTTTCATCTGGGAGGTTACTGCAGACCACCTTCCCAGGGACTGTCAATACTGGGGGTTTGTCTAACCTGCAGCTTCTGGCTTTCAACCTGAACTAGTGCAGTAGCTTTGATGCAAGTGCACAGAGCACAAAGCTGCAGCACTGCTGTGTTTCAGCAGCAGTTTTCTTGTCTCCTCGTTAAAACGCTGCTGTCGTCCTACCTTCCTGTGGCTGCTTCCACTGCTCACGGCTGCCTTTGCAGTTTCAAACCAAAAACCAGAGCTGACTCTCAGAAAGTACCAGTTGCCTCCAGCTTCCCAGCTGGGTGGGTACAGCTTGGTTGTTACTCAGTAAAATGTATGCCTGAAATCCTGGCAATTCAGCGTGGATTTGCTTGGAGGAGAGTGCTGGAACAGCTGGTGACCTGAAGCATTGTCTGGTTCTATTTTTACCAGGTAAGAGCTTGGTATGTCATGTTCATATTGTCATTTCACACATGGTGGAGCCCGGGTTATCTACAAGGCCTGTCTGAAGACCTGAGGCCATCTGCCTAATGCTGGTTGTGGGACCTCGTGGGGAGATGTGGTAGATGGTGAAACCAGGGTGGGTGTGGAGCATCTGGGCTGCCTTCAGGGCACATCTACAGGTTGCTCCGTGCCTTCTTGAGGTCTGGGGGTATTCTCATCTCCTGAGGACCTGCTGCATGTTCCCTGAGCAGGCAAGCCCTGTCAAGAGGCTTTGAGCAGGCCTTGTGCCTATGGCAGGGCCACCCCTGCCAAGCAGGGGAGGGGCTCCATCTCTTGAGCCGCAGGAGTGTCTCTGATATTTTTCACTCCTTACACTTCCCAGAGAGCATCAGGCCTCTGTTCAGGTCAAGTCCTCTTGGAAATACAGCAGGAAGGTGTTTGGAGCAAGCAGAAAGGTCCTGTTGGTAGATGGATGTAGGGCATGACATGGTGGGCTCAAAAGCAAAGCACAGGTGGCAGCTGCTCAGGACTCCTCTTGTCCAGACAACAGCAGGAGCTGGGGCTGTTCCCATCTTTGGTCACATGTACAAGGATTTGTAAGCTGGAAAAACTTGGAACTTCCTACATGCCTCTAAGCACTAGGACCATAGTGGTACCATCATTCTCAGGCTGAAGGCAGTTCTGACCTCTCCCAGCCTCTGTAAAGCCAACCAGCTGTACCTATTGGAACTCATCAGTCAACTATATTGCTGTCTCTTGAATTTTTAATGATTTTTTCCAACTAAACAGAGGACACATTTCAAAATATTTGCTTAAGTGGATATTACTATGCAGTTTTTTCCATTTTATTTTCTGTTGACTGGGGAGCATCTGACGGAAACATTTGAGAGAAGCCATTTTTATTAATAGCAGATCGTGGAATATCCTTTTTGCCAGTAACATTAAACATGCAGGTATTTTTCCTGCTAGCCTGGTACCTGCTTTTTAATTATTTTTTCTTTTAGGTGATCTCACTTTTGTCCTTTTCACCAACCAGCTAGAACAAGTATTGTAATACATTTGCAATTTTAAAATAGGCCCTATCAGATTTAAAAGATAAACATACATAAACCTCACAGAGATCCACTGGTCTTAAATGAACTTTGTTGATGAAAATGTGTGTCCTTTTCCTATCAATCTCTACAAAGATCAAAACAAAGGTCTCTGTCAGAATGTAGCTCACAGCCCATGTTCAGTTCATTACTGGCATTGAATTTGTCTCAACACCTGATTTAACCAATTTGCTTCACAGTAACCAGTTTCTTCTTAATTTTTGTTCCAGCTGGGATATAACATCAAACATTGGAGCAGATGTTTGAAGCTGAATTGCTCACAGTAGCTGAGATACTCTTTAAATCTTAGCAGTCTCTCCCACCCAGAATCTCCCATTTTCACACGTGCCTTTACTGTAAAGTCGGTGTCTTTGTATTAAATAGTTGAGTCCTTTTAAAAAGGGAAGTTTGCTTTTGAATAGCAGGTCAGAGACCTGCTGACTGTCTCACTCTAATAAAAGTGTTACTAGTGTCTCTGGTATGCAGCATAA